TATATATATATAGCTTTTTGTACTTCAACTTAAACATATTTATAATTAGTTATTTATTACAACAGTCAACATATAGAACATATAATGAATGAATATATACATTTGACATGGCATGTCTCTAAATGTGACAGAGTGTCCATATAAGCAAAAGTGACGGTTTATTAGGATCCTCTCGGGAAATATGCCAAGACTTGTTTTCTTTCCAGACATGTACTGTATTGATAGCCCCTGACAAACAGCACCATCTCAGCCACGTCTCTCTATCTGAGAATCTCCTCTCCTGCATCTAATTGGCCAGCAGGGGCTGGAGGGGTTTGACGTGGCTATCCTCTGATTTCCTCTCAGCGTCTTTGAGTTACATGAGTCACTTTTGCTCAAGTTTCCGGATGTTTTTCATCACCATGCACGTGGGTTTCAGCAAGTACAGTATCTTCACACATCATTAGCGCGGAAATGGCAAACTGGACCAGATGGCGAAATGGATAAATGGCCCTGCAAATGTTTGATTCGCTGTTTGTTTCTGTTCTTCTTCTGCATCTTCTCAGGCCTCTCCTGCTGCTTTGGCAAAAAGTGTCTTAGCCGAAGTCCCAAACCAGGTGGTGGACTATTACAACAGCAAGGGGATCAAGCCCAAGTGCCCCAGCGAGTATGAGTCTTCCAGGACGTTTGGCCACTGAAGCGCCGAGCTAACGCTCATTTCAAAAAACGAGCACGTTTCTGTGAATTTGAATCCTAATCTGTTCTACTTTGCTTTGTTTGCATGCGTAGCCTGTGAGGCTTGCATAGGTGTTGCAATGCTGCCGTTCCTATTATGTACATGTGTACATGTACAGACTTACAACCATGAAGAAAGCAAAAACTCAAAAAGTCCTACTGATGTAAGCATGATGACTGGGATTATCTGAAGAATAGTTGGATTATCTGTTGTTTTCTTTTATATAAAGGTTTATTGAGATTTTGCTAAATTTCGTAATGTTCTTACATTGTAAAGCATTTTGGATCTTAGAGAATGAATAGCTATTTGAATTAGAATATCTATGGACATTCAGGCTTTCTTTTTCTGTTTTTGTTCTTTTTTTGCAGATGCAGGGACAGATGCATGATTGTATTTTGCATGTTAATAATAATCCAGCCTCGTTTTTCTACTTGTTCCTTTTGGGGCCTGTTATATGATTTTATGTGAAGCTGCTCTTCTGAAACCAGTCCACAAATTAAAATTTAGAAGTATTTTTTGGTAGTTTAAAGTGATGATGTAACACATTGTTTGAAAATAAAGTTTGTGTTATGAACGATGCATTTTTTGTGTGGATTTTGAAGCAACCAACTTTCCAAACTGTTAGTCCATAATATAAATAGACGTTTTATGCCACCAATCTCCAAAAATGCAGAGATTAAAAAAATACTCTGACTTTCGATGAGTCTATATAGTATGGAATCGCATTTCTGCCACTAAATAAAAAAGGTAATTGCGAGTTTACATCTCACAATTCTGACTATTTTAAATTGTGTTATGAAAGTCAGTATTGCGTGACATAAACTTGCAATTGCTTGAAAAAATAAACTTACAATTCAGACTTTTTTTGAGATGGTCCTCACTGCAGAACACAAGATCCAACTCCTCACAATCCAGATCCAACTCCTCCCAGCTTACATATACCTAAACCTACCCGTCTCCACCCCCTGATCCCTAAACCCACCAATCTCCACCCCCTAGATGTGGATCCAACCACGCCCCCTGGATCTTGTGTTCTGCAGTGAGGGGCTACTGCTTTTTTTCTCAGAATTGCAAGTTTAAATCTCAGACTGAGATATAACCTCACAATTCTTAGAACATAATTTTTCCCCCCTCAGAATTGTATATATATATAGCTTTTTGTACTTCAACTTAAACATATTTATAATTAGTTAACAGTCAACATAGTCAACATATAGAACATATAATGAATGAATATATACATTTGACATGGCATGTCTCTAAAGTGTCCATATTGTCCATATAAGCAAAAGTGACGGTTTATTAGGATCCTCTCGGGAAATATGCCAAGACTTGTTTTCTTTCCAGACATGTACTGTATTGATAGCCCCTGACAAACAGCACCATCTCAGCCACGTCTCTCTATCTGAGAATCTCCTCTCCTGCATCTAATTGGCCAGCAGGGGCTGGAGGGGTTTGACGTGGCTATCCTCTGATTTCCTCTCAGCGTCTTTGAGTTACATGAGTCACTTTTGCTCAAGTTTCCGGATGTTTTTCATCACCATGCACGTGGGTTTCAGCAAGTACAGTATCTTCACACATCATTAGCGCGGAAATGGCAAACTGGACCAGATGGCGAAATGGATAAATGGCCCTGCAAATGTTTGATTCGCTGTTTGTTTCTGTTCTTCTTCTGCATCTTCTCAGGCCTCTCCTGCTGCTTTGGCAAAAAGTGTCTTAGCCGAAGTCCCAAACCAGGTGGTGGACTATTACAACAGCAAGGGGATCAAGCCCAAGTGCCCCAGCGAGTATGAGTCTTCCAGGACGTTTGGCCACTGAAGCGCCGAGCTAACGCTCATTTCAAAAAACGAGCACGTTTCTGTGAATTTGAATCCTAATCTGTTCTACTTTGCTTTGTTTGCATGCGTAGCCTGTGAGGCTTGCATAGGTGTTGCAATGCTGCCGTTCCTATTATGTACATGTGTACATGTACAGACTTACAACCATGAAGAAAGCAAAAACTCAAAAAGTCCTACTGATGTAAGCATGATGACTGGGATTATCTGAAGAATAGTTGGATTATCTGTTGTTTTCTTTTCTATAAAGGTTTATTGAGATTTTGCTAAATTTCGTAATGTTCTTACATTGTAAAGCATTTTGGATCTTAGAGAATGAATAGCTATTTGAATTAGAATATCTATGGACATTCAGGCTTTCTTTTTCTGTTTTTGTTCTTTTTTTGCAGATGCAGGGACAGATGCATGATTGTATTTTGCATGTTAATAATAATCCAGCCTCGTTTTTCTACTTGTTCCTTTTGGGGCCTGTTATATGATTTTATGTGAAGCTGCTCTTCTGAAACCAGTCCACAAATTAAAATTTAGAAGTATTTTTTGGTAGTTTAAAGTGATGATGTAACACATTGTTTGAAAATAAAGTTTGTGTTATGAACGATGCATTTTTTGTGTGGATTTTGAAGCAACCAACTTTCCAAACTGTTAGTCCATAATATAAATAGACGTTTTATGCCACCAATCTCCAAAAATGCAGAGATTAAAAAAATACTCTGACTTTCGATGAGTCTATATAGTATGGAATCGCATTTCTGCCACTAAATAAAAAAGGTAATTGCGAGTTTACATCTCACAATTCTGACTATTTTAAATTGTGTTATGAAAGTCAGTATTGCGTGACATAAACTTGCAATTGCTTGAAAAAATAAACTTACAATTCAGACTTTTTTTGAGATGGTCCTCACTGCAGAACACAAGATCCAACTCCTCACAATCCAGATCCAACTCCTCCCAGCTTACATATACCTAAACCTACCCGTCTCCACCCCCTGATCCCTAAACCCACCAATCTCCACCCCCTAGATGTGGATCCAACCACGCCCCCTGGATCTTGTGTTCTGCAGTGAGGGGCTACTGCTTTTTTTCTCAGAATTGCAAGTTTAAATCTCAGACTGAGATATAACCTCACAATTCTTAGAACATAATTTTTCCCCCCTCAGAATTGGACTTTATAACCTGCAATTGTGAGTTTATCTCACAATTCTGAAAAAAAAAAAAAATGTCAGAATTGCGAGATCCAAACTTACATGTGAGAAAAAAAAAATCGCACAATTATTTTTGCAAATTTCGAGTTTATATCCCACTTTTCTGACTTTATAACTCTTAATTGAGTTTATATCACGTAATTCTGAGAAAAAACGCAGAATTGCGAGTTTTTATAATTGAGTTTATATCATGCAATTCTGAGAAAAGTCAGAATTTCACGTTTGTATTACACAATTATGAGAAAAGTCAGAATTTCACGTTTGTATTACACAATTCTGAGAAAAGTCAGAATTTCACGTTTGTATTACACAATTCTGAGAAAAAAGTCAGAATTTCACGTTTGTATTACACAATTCTGAGAAAAAAGTCAGAATTTCACGTTTGTATTACACAATTCTGAGAAAAAAAGTCAGAATTTCACGTTTGTATTACACAATTCTGAGAAAAAAAGTCAGAATTTCACGTTTGTATTACACAATTCTGTGGAAAAATGTCAGAATTACGAAATGTAACCTTGCAACTGCGAGAAAAAAAGTCAGAATTGCGTGATAAAAAGTCACAATAAACTTTTTAAATTTTTTTATTCAGTGGCAGAAATGGGCTTCCATAATATTGTCTATATATAGCATATAAGAAATTTCATGTTTTGCTTCAAAGAATTAAAAAATAAAATTCAGATTTTTAAATGACCATTCCGAGTAATTTATTATTATTATTATTATTTATTTATTTATTTTTACATTTTCACAATATTCACATGAATGATTTTATTTCCTTTATAGTTTCAACCATAGAAACTGAAACTAGTGCACAAGAGTGTAAGATATTGGAAACAACAACACTTACTACACACTTGAAAAAGCACTTAATAAGTTGGCCTATATTTGACAAGCGATACACTTTCTAATGAGATTTCATTTTGTCTTTGCAGTAGGCAGTTCTTCAGTTTCAGGCTTACAAAGCTGAGAAATGTATTTTAGAAACCACTAGACATGCTCATTATAGGCAATGTCAGGGGACAATTTTTCATATACATTAAACACACAAAAAGCATCAACGCAATGTGTGCGGGTCCTCAAACTGTCATAATGCAGGCTGACAGACCTGTCATGAACCTCTGATGAGCCGCTGTGCTCCCACACGTCTGCTCAGGGACTCAGCTTTCCCCTGAAGACCAGCTACTGGTTCACACTGAAGCCTTTGAATGTACATCGACACTCTAACTGAATCTCAACAGATCCACTGAGTCAGTTTATCACATTTCACATGGACTAACTACTAGTTATAGTTTTTGGCAGTGTTAATCTTGTCAACAAAACTACTGATGAAAATGTCAGAAGTTTTATTAATTTTTTTAATTATTATTATTATTTTTAACAATAATGAAGACAAGGACCCTGACAGTGGTTTTGAATAAAAAAAAAATAATAAAAAAAAATAAATACTGCAAGATATTAACAATATTTTTTTTGAAGAAATGTAGAAAGAAAGTTACAATAATGTTGGGGCTTACCGATTAAGCTGTGTAAGCATAAATGTAATATTACATATACTGTTAAAAAAATCTAACCAAAATATATTTTAAGTATATGTTTAATATGTTATAAACATATGAGTGAAATATATATTTTTGAAATTTTAAATAATATTTAATTTCAACCTACATATACCCAAATATATTTTAAAATAAAGGAAAATACATTTCCAATCTTACATTTTTACATTTAGGCTGACTACACAATGTGGATTAGCCTACCAGTGATTTATATTGATTTAATCATGTTTAAAAAAAAATGTAATGTACTGTAATATGTAATTTTTTGTAAACATTGTAAAGTATGTTCCTTGCTGATCTTTCTATATACATATATATATATATATATATATATATATATATAAATTTTTTTTTCTGTATAGGATACAACTGCATCAGCACAAAATACGTATAAATAAGAGTTTCCATATAACCTGGTGGTGAAAGCATTGTCCTCCATATGGCTCTAAATCTCCAAAACTACCTCATGACTGATGTGTCACATTTATTTATTCAGTGTAACATGAGGAAAATGTGCCAAAACCGCATCCACATATTAGTCTCTGAAGGCTTCAGTGGTACTTCATTATCTCATTTGTTCTCAATCAACCGGAGCATGTGACTCCCTACAAGCCTGCACAGGTCATTGCTATTTTACTGGGTCCATCATTGATCTGCCACTCGAGGACAACCGCAGGATGCTACATCATTAGGCCGATGCATTCTCAAGAGCTTTTGTCACTGATTGGCTCAGATTGTGTTGTTGTCATGGAGATCTGCGGCCCAGGTTGCGGTTTGAAGTGTAACGCGAAATAAAAAAGTGTGAATATAAAACGAAAGTAATGTCCCGGTTCAATAGCATCATGCTCTTCTCAGTACAACTGCAATAAGAATATAAATCTAGTCATCAAGAAAGAAAAAAAGGCCAG